ACAACGCCAGCGCGGCTGGTGAGGCCAACGGTGGGTTTGATTCCGACGACGGAGTTGTGATTGGCTGGGCAGATGATGGAGGCATCAGTTTCAGTTCCCACAGACACTGCCACCATGTTTGCTGCAACTGATATGGCGGACCCACTACTTGATCCACATGGGTCCCCCGACTCAACATAAGGGTTCTACATAACATTTTCCATGTAATCACGTTAGCCTAATCAGAATCCTCAGTTTGTTAAATAACCAAAATTTTGAAGTACCAATCCTTTTCTTCCAATAACGTTATCAGTTATAACTCAATGTTAAACCTATCTGATGGACTCCCACTTGGTTGTTTTTTTTTTCCCCAGTTCATTTAATTCAACAATATCCATAAACCAGTCTCTCTCTCATGGAATATTTCAATCAATTTTAGTATCAATATCTTTTTTTTTCCGAGCATTATAACAAATAGGTAGTTTTGTTTTTCAAATTAATCATTGTATCTTAATCATATAGACATACTATAAATAATAAACGACACAATACAGATATTAAAGCAAAAAAGTGGCCCTCCACATTTTTGAATAGGTAACATCATTTACATAATTATATCGGTTCCTGAGTTTCATAATTACATCAGTTGACACACATTGATTTTATTTTTATTTTTATTTTATTTTATTTTATTTAAAGACTCAAAGACATGCACTCTTAAAGAATCAAAATATATATCTCCATCGAGTTATGAATATAGACGGTTTATCAACATGTTTAACATGTCGAGAGAGAGAGAGAGAGAAAACGAACCACGGCCTGTCCCCCTCTGGCACACCAACCATTGGGAATGAGCGGAGAGCGAATACCGTACCACTCGGTAAGACTAGCCTTCCCCAATATCACAGCCCCTGCGCTTCTCAACCTCTCCACCACCGTCGCATCCCTCGCCACCTCCGATCCCAGCAGTGCGTACGACCCCGCCGTCGTGTTCATCTTGTCCTTCGTCGCTATGCTTTCCTTAATCAACACCGGCACGCCGTGAAGCTCTCCCAACGACGACCCACGGCCACAATTTGCCTCATCCCTCCTCTCTCTGTCCGCTATCTCCGCCTGATCTCGCGCGTCTGGGTTGATTTCCAGTACGCCGCGAAGCAGGGGATTCAGGCTCTCGATCCGGTCAATGTAGAAGTCGACCAGCTGCCGCGAAGTCAGCCGGCCGTCGGCGAAGGCGCGTTGAATGTCGGCGACTGTGGCCTCGATGATTGAGAACTCTGATCCGTTGATCGTGCTGATCAAGCCTAAAAGTACTAAGATCAACGGTAAGGAGGGAGGGGATTTTATGCCATTGACTATCATTTTCTTGCCTAGTCTTGATTCTTGAACTGCGTACCTAAAGCTCCTCAAGCTTCATTCTTTGAACCGTTTTGTAAGTTCAACTAGTGAACTGACAAGTGTTATAAAAATGAATATAGAGACCGACACAATAAAACGACAACAAAAGTCAAGAACCGCTGCGTGAGATTTTTTTTTTTTTT